AATCCTGTGTACAGATGAGGGTGTAATCCCTACGTAATCCTTATCTATTCCGTGTAATCCTTGACCAAATTTTAAAACATTATCACTAAATTTTATCTTATTGTCCAAATTTTATGGTTTTAGAGCCTAAAATTCAACAAAATTCACGTGTAATCACTCAAAATTGACATGTAATCCCTGTAATCACGTAATCCTGTGTACATACTCAATCGAAGTGGTGGCCCCCTCGCAGAGAACCTACCGTTAACATATTACAAGAAAATATTTTGGCACTAATAGCTGATGAAAATTGTCGTACCGGGTACAGGAGAATTTTTCATAAAACAGCATACGCTGTACAGATTCTGACGTGGCATACTGGGTACTTAAAATAAAAACTCGTTAAAGAAAAATCACCGACCAGATTTTTCGATTTTTCCTTTGCCCAGGCTTACGGCGAGACTGGGGCCTCGACTTCTGGTAGCTTACACAGGACTTTCAACCCACAGACCGCACCCTCTGAACGAGCTACATAGGGGCGACATCGTAATAACTACGACGTGAAAAGACTCAATTATTATTCGTTACTTATTGTGTTGCAGATCCAAAGAGTGATCCACAGGTGGATGAACAGCTTCTGGAAAATCTGCAGGCTCACGTTCCAAAAAATCTTATTCCCTTCTCAGACTCACGAAGAGTTCTAGGTCTTTCTGAGCGAAAAGACTTTGATTACGACGAAGTTATTGAAAAGGTGAAACAAGGCATTCGAAACTCAGTTTCATCTTCATGCAGCCTAGGTTGCGTTCTAAAAAAGGCAAGTATTGTCATGATGCAGCGTTGAATATCTGTATGTGTGTGTTATGGGTGTTGTTCTGCTTCACGAGATGTTGCGCACACGCTTCACTGAAACGCTAAAAATACTCACTAAAAACTAATACATTTGCCAATGACAGCAGGGGCATCTAGCGGGGCAGACCTGAGTCGTCCCGCGTATGGTACCCGGAAGAGGTCCGTGTAGGGTTCAAAAACGAAAGTAGCAGGTAGGCTTTAGTTATATGTGGAGGTACGGGAGTCGTTCGTTTAGGGTCGTTTCTGCACTGTTAGAAATTCCGTAGGCTAATTACGGAATTCTTACGGTACTCACCGTAAATTCCAAGTACGGTACCAAACCGTAACGGGATGACTGTAATTTAAAGATACGGAATTGTCCGTATTTCAAATAACGGTGCATCCCGTACATGTTCCCCGTCATATTAAATAATTTTTGAAACAAATAGTTTAAACAATTGAGCTGTCCATATAGAGATTTATGTTATTGCCTCTTTCGCAAAACCATAGCTTTGCGCTCTCGTGTCTATCAAAATCCAATTCTTCGAATTACAGTGCAATTTATAATTTTTCCTAATTAATAAGTCAAAATTTTACGGAAAAGCTTACGGTTTATCCGTTACTTAAGAATACGGCTTTTCCGTATGGTTTCCGTAGAAAATACGGAAAATTACGGTACATTCCGTGAAAAAAATCCACATATTACGTCACGCGCTTAAGGGGGGGGGGGGTCTGAAACACCGCTACGTCACATTTTTTGAGTGAAGAAAATACGTTTTTCAACAGCTTTGATCAAGTCAATTTACCGTCCAGCGACTAGCAAAGTATCTGAGTGAGGGAGGGAGGCCGGGTAGACGGCGGGGCGGCGGTGGGCAAGGTGTTCCCTACAATCGAGATTATACGTATCGGGGTGATTTGCGTAATAGACCATTCCGCTAAGCCGAAAAAGAAGAAGAGAAGGAAGAAGCAAATATATATTTTGGGACTTAATGGACCTTCTTACACAGCATTTTACAACTCTTACATGTTCGAAATGGTTTTTTAGGGCAAATGTGATATTTTTAAGACAAAAAATCCATCACTCACAAATTGGCCCCATCAGCCCTAAACGATACCTTTGCTTCTTCCTTCTCTTCTTTTATGGCTCAGCGAAATGGTCTATTAATTGTAGAGAACACGTAGTTTCTAGAACAAAACCGAGTAAACCGTTTAGCGCACACTACCTACCCAAACCTGTTGAAAACGGCACTGCAGCGTCGTCGTCTTGTCATGGTGTGCAACTTTCAAGTCGAGTCGTTGTCTCACACAGTCCAACAAAGAATTTTTACACTCTGTATGGACGTAGGTATGGCATGAACTAGGATATCTGGAATCGGTCACCTCCTTCATCCCTACGTCATACCTACGTTCATACAGAGTCCAATAATATTTTGTTGGACTGTGTGGGACCAACGGCTCGACTTTAAAGTTGTGCATCATGAAAAGACGACAACGCTGCCATGCCGTTTTCAACAGGGGATACCTCAGCTTTAGGTAGGCGTATCGACGTCATACACATTGCGTTTTATAGTCAAAAGTATGCGCTAGACGGTTTACTCGGTTTTGTTCTAGAAACTATAGGTTACAAAATTAATTTCGAAAATAACCCCCATTTTAGGCTTGCTACACTAGGATGCCCCCTTAATGCAGCGAGGTCACCTCAAACACTCAATTTATCATCAATTTTAAGCCGTAGCGATTTATGTAAAACTATGCTATGTTTTTTTCGATTAATGTCGAAAATGTGACGTCACAATGGGGGGGAAAGGGGGTCAGATTTTGTGACGGTGCGTGACATGAGGGGG